CGCAAAGAAAATGGGGGNTGGAAGAAGAAGAGGCCTTCACGACCAAGGAAATTGATGATATCTGTGAAGCCTTGAAACAAATGTTATATGAATCCCACGTGGTCCATCCAGGGGAAGGCACAAGTCGTGCTGAGATGCAGTATATTGGACCGAATTTCATGCTCCATAACTGGGAGGCTACCCCATTCCCTATCAGGCGGGAGTCCCGGTAGTTCAGTCTTGCCATCTCTTATGCATTACGAGTTATTTCATGGTGTAACTTGACTGTTTTACTTTATTGTCTTTTTAATTCTGATGTAAACCCTCATATCTTTCAATTCAATTAAATAAAATCAATATTTCATCGTCCATATATGTCACTTTCCTTTTGTTCTGATTTTGTTGTTTTTCTCATATTTTCTTATCTTTTCTTTTCAGTTCTAGTAATGCGGATTTAAATAATATGACATGTTTGTGGACTTCATGCCCAGATCCTAAAATGCTGTCTAACTTTGAAATAATGAATCAAGAGCAAGAATACGATGAAGATGAGGCTTTTACAGAAAAAATCAAGAATTAGAACAATTTGAGAATAAGCCTAAGCCAAATTTAAATGAAATTGAGACAGTAAATTTGGGCAATTAGAAGAGGTTTGAGAAACCATGTTAAGCATTCACGCTGATGAAAGAACTAGAGATGCCTTGATCCAACTTTTGTTTAAATTCATAGACGTTTTTGCAAGGTCTTATGATGATATGCTAGGGTTGCACGTTGATTTTGTGGTACATAAATTGCATACCTATCCTGGTTATCCACTTGTCCAACAGAAGTAAAGAAAGTTCAAAACTGCCTTCAATCATAAGATCAAGGAAGAAGTCACCAAACAACTAAAAGATGGATTGATTCGAGTGGTTTGATACACCACATGGGTGGCTAATGTGGCACTGCTTCTGAGGAAATATGGAAAACCCGAGTGTTTGTTGATTACCGGGATTTGAACAAAGCGAGTCCCAAGAATAACTTTCCATTGCCAAATATTCACATTCTTGTTGACAACTGTGCTAAACATGAGATACAATATTTCATGGATTGTTATGCTGGGTATCATCAGGTTCTGATGGATGAAGAAGATGTAAATAAGAAAGCTTTTACCATACCTTGGGGCACTTACTGATATAATGTCATGCCATTTGGTTTAAAAATTATCGGGGCAACCTACATAAGAGCTATGACTAACATATTCCATGACAAGATGCATCAGGAGATTGAGGTATATGTGGATGATGTGATCATTAATCCAGAATGCAAGAAGACCATGTGCAAGATCTGAGGAAGTTCTTTGAGCGTCTGCGCATGTATGACTTGAAATTGAACCCAGCGAAATGTGAATTTGGAGTTTCGTTGGGGAAGCTACTAGGGTTTATAGTCAATTGAAGGGGTATTGTGTTAGATTCGACAAAGATAAAGTCTTTTTGGGATTTGCCACCTCCAAAAAGCAAGAAAGAGGTTATGAGTCTGCTAGGAAGATTAAATTACATCAGCAAATTCATCGCTCAGCTTACTACCACTTGTGAGCCCATATTCAAGCTGTTGAAGAAAGATGCGACAATCCAATGGATAGAGTTCCAAAAACCTTTTGATAAAATCAAAGAATATCTGTCAAATCCACCAATGTTAGTTCCGCTCGATCCGGAAAGACCTTTGTTCTTATATTTGACAGTCCTGGAAAATTCTTTTGGCTGTGTCCTGGAGTAACACGATGTAACCGAGAAGAGAAAATATGCCATATATTATCTGAGCAAGAAGTTCACCAATTATGAAGCCAAGTACACCCTGTGGAAAGAACTTGTTGCATCTTATCTTGGGTCTCCCAAAAGATCCGACATTACTTGTTGGCTTACACAACATAGCTCATAACCAGGATGGCTTCTTTGAAGTACATATTCCAGAAGTCGATGCCCACTGGAAGGTTGGCAAAATGGCATATCCTGCTCACCAAGTTCAACATTGTCTATGTCACTCGCACGACGATGAAAGCTCAAGCCTTGGCAAATCACCTAGCCGAGAACCCGGTCAATGATAAATATCAACCATTCAACACTTGTTTTCCAAACGAGGCAGTGAACTCAATTGAAACAATTCCAGAGAATATCAATGCCTGGAAAATGTTTTTTTATGGGGCCGCAAACGAAAAAGGCGTGAGGATTGGGGCAATCTTGATTTCCCCCACAGGTCAGCACTATCCGGCCACAACTCGTCTTCAGTTCTTCTGTACAAACAACACCGCTGAATATGAAGCTTGCATCATGGGCATGAATATGGTAATTGTCATGACCCTGGTTCGCCTTCCGTGAACCATCGTGACGGTACCTAGTCTCTACGACTAGGTAAGCCTAACTTTGCGGAAAATAACCAAACTTGCGGAAGTAAAACAATTTAAAAACAGAAATACAGCAATAACAATGTGTAAATGTGCCGCTCGGCATACACCATGTTTAACTCTCAACACTAAACATAAATCCAAGACCCAGAAACCCATGAATCACAAGCTAAGAAAAACAATACTACATGGCTCTAACTTCGGAATTTCTAATAAAGAACAGAGAAGTACAGAAGGGATTAATACTAAAGGTAGGAATAAAAAGGGACTCTTTGGTCTGCGGATGTGGCAGATGTACCTCGGAGTCTCTAAGCAGTCGCCTCCCTCAATGATAGTAGGCCTGATCAGCGGTACCTGGATCTCCACTTGAAAAACATGCACAGAAGGGGCATGAGTAAACCACAACGGTACTCAGTAAGTGCCAAGCCTAACCTCGGTTGGGTAGTGACAAGGAAGGTCAGGGCCCTACTGAGATTAAATAAAATATAAAGGTTGACAATATAGAACGGAATAGTATAAATGAGTACAACAGTAAAGGGTGAATAGAACAGCGACAACTATACAGAACCAGGTAAACATGGAAAAAGAACACAACTCAACACTAATAGTAACAATTGGGTATCTCCCAGGATATCGTCCTGTAGTCCCATCTTTACATGTCCAGTGGATCTCCCGGGATACCGTCCCGTAGTCCATCANAAATCTATCGGGTGCATTCCCCTAGTTCCATATAACTGTGCAGGGGGATCTATCGGGAATCTAACCCATAGTCCCAAAGTAAACAGACAAGGGGGGGGGGGGGAGCTACCAGAATCCCACATCCGTAGTCCCAATGTAAATACGCAGCAATAAGAAGAAGATATTCAGAAATGAAATTTCATATCAAGGAAACAAGTAATTCTAGCCTAACATGCTTCACGTAGTGCAATCAAGGCAATTTAAGCAAATAGGCAATTCAGGTCAACTAAACATGCTTTCTAACTAACAACATGCTAAATTTTGCAAGTATAATAAAGCAGGAAAGGAATCATGCTAATAAATACTTTAAGAAAACCGGATTTCAAATAATTTGCACAAGTACGCGCCCATCACCTCACAGACATGGAAATTCAATTACCATACATACCAATCCTAAGGGGAAGTTCCCAACACAAGGTTAGACAAGCCACTTACCTCGAACCGGCTCAAAATCAACTTGAAACCACACTTTTGCCACGGGGATCCGACTCCAAATGGCCCAAATCTATTCAATTCAATCGCATATTGTAAATAACACTTCATGTAACTGATTCAACAATTAAATTCTAAGCTAATAAGCGAAAACATGTAAAATGACCAAAATGCCCCTTCGGCCAACGTCTCAGAATCGGGTGAATTTACATTTTCAGAACCCTCGTACTCTCAAGAGTCTATATATAACAAGAACACTTAAATCGGAGTCCAAATGGCCCCTCAAATCCTCAATTAAAGGTCTCTTAAACTCAAGCCCTAATTACCCATTTTTTCCAAATTTCTCACCATTAGTTAGGTATATAATCACATATAAACAAGTTATGAAGTCAAGAACATTGCCTCCAAGTGATTTCCCTTTGATTTCCTCAAAAACCCCTCTTAGAAGCTTCAAACTCGGATAAACATGGTGGAAGAATAGCCAGTTTTCACAAATGCAACTATTTATATGTTCTGCCCAGCGACTTCCGCATTTGCGTTCCTGGGACCGCATCTGTGGTCCCGCTTCTGCGGAAACCACGTCATATCTGTGACTTTCAGTTGATTGCCCAGGAGCCACATCTGCGATATTTTTTCCGCAGATGCGGTTCCCTTATGCATCTGCAGAATCTGAAGAAAACACCAACATCTGCTTCTGCGATCTCTACGCCGCTTCTGCCGCTCCGCATTTGTGGTCCCCAAACCGCATATGCAAAAATACCAGAAGGCCAGCTGCTGCACAACTTCAACTCCAAAATTTTCTCCGTTAACCATCCGAATTCACCCCGAGGCCCCCGTGACCTCAACCAAAAGCACCAATATCACCTAATACCTTACTCAAACTTGTACCAATCCTTAAATAACCTAAAACAACATCGGAAACTCGAATTAATCAAGGATTTAAGCCTAAGAACTCCAAATTTCCTCAAAATACACTTTCGATCAAAATCCTAACCAAACCACGTCCGAATGACCTGAAACATTTCACATACATCCCAAATGACATGACGGAACTATTGCAATTTTCGGAAGCCATTCCGATCCTCGGATCAAAATCTCACTATTGGACCGGAAACTTCGAAAATTCGACTTTCGGCATTTCAAGCCTAAATTAGCTACGGACCTCCAAAACACATCCCGATCACGCTCCTAACCTCGAAATCACCTAACAAAGCTAACGGAGCCATTAGATTTCCATTCCGAGGCTGTCTCCACACTGTCCATGCTACAGACAACTTTCCAATACTTACGCTCTCATTTGGGGACTAAGTGTCCCAAAACTCTCTGAATCTCAAAACCGAACATCCCGACAAAACAAATTAGCAGAAATAAACTTGGGAAAAGCAGTTAATAGGGGATCGGGGCATTAATTCTTAAGACGACCAGCCGGGTCGTCACAGTAACTAATTTGGACATACATGAATTATTAATAATGGGAAATTCTGATTTAATCATTCGGCAAGCCCATGGTAAGTGGGAAACTCGAGACATCAAAATCATCCCATACAGTCAATATATGGAAGATCTCAACAAACGGTTCAAGTCCTCCAAGTTCAAGTATATCCCTCGATTCCACAATGAGTTAGCTGATGCACTAGCTACTTTGGCCTACTCGAGTAATGTTCATATTGACCCACTAGAAATCCAAGTTCAAGAAAGGCATGGTTATTGTAACACAATTGAAATGGAGCGAGATGTTCAACGATGGTATCATAATATCAAAAGTTTTTTAAAAACAAAAGAATATCCCGAGCAGGCCGATGGAGATCAAAAAAGAAATATCAAAAGGCTTGCAAGCAATTTCTTTTTTAGTGGAGAGGTCCTATACAAAAGAACTCCAGATCTGAATCTTTTGAGGTGCGTAGATTCTCGAAAAGCTGAAAAGATCATGAACAAAGTGCATTCGGGAGTATGCGGGCCTCATATGAACGGGTATGTCCTTGCAAAGAAAATCCTCTAGGCAGGTTATTACTAGATGACCATGGAAAAAGTTTGTTTTAGTTTCGTCCGTAAATTCCATCAGTGCCAGATACACGATGACCTAATTCATCCATCGCCTTCAGAGTTATATCCTATGTCAGCACTTTGGTTGTTTGTTGCCTAGGTCATGTATTTTATTCGGCCAATCGAGTTGAAAGCTTCAAATGGACACAGATTCATCTTGGTTGCAATTGATTATTTCACAAAGTAGGTTGAAGCAGTCACCTTCAAAGCCGTCACCAAGAAAGCAGTGGTGGACTTCGTGCATTACAATATTATTTGTCATTTTGGTATTCCTAAAACTATCATTACGGTCAATGTTGCAAATTTGATATGAACAATTTAAAATTACACATCATAATTTTACCCCTTATTGGCCCAAAGCTAATGGCATTGTTAAAGCCGCAAACAACAACATCAAGAAGATCCTCAGGAAAATGGTTCAAGGTTCTAGACAATGATATGAAAAATTGCCTTTTGTACTATTGGGATATCACACAACCGTGCGCACATCAGTTGGGGCCACTCCCTACTTATTAGTTTAAGGCACTGAAGTCATAATACCTGCAGAAGTTAAGATTCCCTCTCTTCGGATAATTGTTGAAGCCGAGATCGAGGATGATGAATGAGCCAAGACCCAGTTGGAACAACTGACTATCATTGATGAAAAGCAAATGGCTGCAGTTTTCCACGGGCAGTTATATCGATAAAGAATGGCACGTGCCTACAACAAGAAAGTGCGGCCCAGAAAATTTGAAGTGGGACAACTCATTCTGAGACGTATTCTCCCGCATCATGAAGCAAAAGAAAATTTGCTCCAAATTGGAAAGGCCCGTATATTATAAGAAGATTGTTGCTGAATGGGGCGTTGTATTTGGGATATATCAAAGTAAATGACCCCGAGATAGCTTGCAATGAAGATGCGGTCAAAAGGCATTACGTTTCACCCCTTTTCACAGCTTTAACATTCTCCGATTAGGATGACGAAGTCTTTATTTCTCGCTATCAAAATACTATAAACCCTTTGCAAAACCATTGAGTCAATTCCCTTTCATTGATTATCCCTTGGAGCCTGGAAGTTATTATTGGAAAAACATAAAAGAAAAAGAAAGACAACAGAAAATCAAAAATAAAGTTCATTGAACTACGTTCGACTTGATTTTGAAAGAATATGTATGCAGCCTCTCTCTGGGGTTCGGTCACACCAAAACTCCACATTCCCTAAAAGTTGAAATAGGGGCAGATGTTATAATGGTTCAGTTATGGTTTCGCCTGAAAAGTTCCAAAATTGTAATTCAATCCAAATTGTTTTCACCCAAATCCTTTTCAAGTCCTTTTGATTGATCGACAAAGATGTTCAAAATTGGAGGATATAGTTACTTGGATCCGATGCAACCAAAATAAGAGAGTCTTACTGGTGAAAACCCTCACGGGTACCGCAAGGTGATTGTGAGTAGAAAGAACTAAAATGAGAGAGTCTTGTTAGTGAAAAATCACAAAGAGAACTATATGGAGATGGTGATAAGAGAAATGAGAGAGGTTAGATGGTGAAAACCCACAACAGGCACCACTGATCGAAAAGAGGATCCTCACAACCATTAGCATCGACACGGTCCTGGGTAAGTTTTTCCAGTTTCGAGGCAAAAGTTGTGATGAATTTCTGAGAGTCGAATGGTTTACACAGATTAGGCATCCAGTCTAAAAGGAATGTCATGTTCGTTGAATTCTGCATGTGCTCCTAGATAAATCCTTCCTTCTATTCAACGAAAGAGACACCTGTTATTTAAACTCATTGTTCAATCCATTGTTTGTTTTTCTTTGAATCCCTTTAGGTCTAACTTTGTTCCAAAACTAAGATAAAGAAGGGACAACAAGAATTATTTACAAGGCTCTCATTTGATACAAGCTAATGTGTAAAAAAGGCACTCAGCCTTGGCAGGGGCATCAAGTCAACCCGACCGGCTATGGCGAACAATGCGTCGAAATCAAAACTCTTAGAAGGAAGAAATTGAATTGAAGTTCCTACAAGGGCAAAATGAAGTTGAAAAAGTTAAGTCCCAATCGGTGGTAAATAATGATACATAACTGCCCGACAGGCCGTAGCGCGTTGGTAAATGCATGACTGCCCGACCGGCCGGTTGGGTAGTTACTGCTGATCGGTTGGGCAGTCATACATCATACGATGTGGATAATAGTCTCAAAGAGAAGTATTATATATATGTAAGTATAATAAGTATGGACATACAGTGGCACTTCATTGGTTCAGGTTGATTCTTATATGTCCTTAATCAGTGTTGACTTATTGTTATGTTTCATTTCTGCCTTACATACTCAGTACATTATTCGTACTGATGTCATTTTGTTAGGGACGCTTCATTCATGCCTGCAGTTATAGATAATCAGTTTGATGAGCCCTCATAGTAGACAATATTGGCATTCAGTGAAGGATCGATAAGACACCACCTCATTCGGAGTGCAGCCGAGTCTATGAGTCATCAAGTCAGAATTTTTTACAGACTTATGGGTGTCGACGCCCCTTTTTCTCTAATCGTGGGGTCAGAAATCGGGTTTACGACATTAGGAGGACAACTCTATTCCCTTTCGAGAATTGGGTTTAGAAGTTGAAGAGTCGCCACCTAATGATTAAAGTGCATTAGGACATTTTTTAGAAGAGTTTGAGATGAAGAGACCAGAGATTAGGGTAAGGGCTAGAAATTATCCCGAGGGGAAGGTGTTAGGCACCCCTCAGGATCCACAAGTGTAGTTCCCGGCCATGCTACAATTGTGACTTTAGAAGTAAACAATCAAGGCTCAAATAAGGACTTGCATACAACATTGCAATTAGGTTGAAACTTATGAAAGTAAGTAGAAAGAAAGCAAGGATTTGAAAAGCTTAAACAACTCTAAAGGAAGCGAATAAAGAAAAGGGGGTCCTAGGTTTGTGATTAATATGGATCACTTCAATGCAATATCCAACAATCACTCTTTAGAAGAGGGGCCGCACATGATATTAGCGCACCAGTCATCATATCCATATTCTACCCTTCCCACCCCGTTAAGGTATTAAAGTGCGGAATGGTATCGTTACTTATTGCATGCTATTACCCGTCCCAATCTTATCAATCTCGGAGGCATTGAGACTACTAATACTGAAGGGGAGGGAGTTGGGGCTTTTATGGTTTTAAAAGGATAAAATTCTAGAGCGACAAACAAAACACATAAAGCAGATATGGGAAAACACATAACAGTTGAAAGGCTCAAATAAACCTCCTCAAGTCAGAAAAGCATAGAGTTTAGCATGTCTTACATGTACTGATTAGGTCTAAATTAAACTTAAAAAAATGCGTGAGGCAGACTGATTTATTACATACTTCAGATAAGAAATCCGAATCAGACCTGCCTGCTGGTTGGAATTGTCAAAGATTGATGCACTTATGGATTTTACCCTAAAGCTTGCCTAAGTGAAACCTATAGGCATGATATCTAATAATGCAAAGTATACTGATTTTAATGAAAAGCTTTACTGATTTTAGAAAAAGGGATCTGTAGATTTTAAGACGGGTTTTAGATTCGAAACGAGGCCGATTCAATTAACTGATCCTATAGGCATGGTTTCTAAGTGTCATTGATCTTAAACAGTTGCAAGAATCCTATAGACATGATATCTAGGCATTATTGATTTTAAACGTTTATAGAAGTGCAGAAGTCCTATAGGCCTGGTGTCTAAAATACTGATTGTTATTTAAACCTATATACACGTTTGCCTAATGATAGATGCATATGCAGAATATAGAAAGTCCTATAGGCATGGTGTTTATATGAGAATGCAGAAAATCTTATGGACATGTTATCTATGTGAGAATGCAGGGTTTCAATGATTTATAAAATGCAGAACTTTGAAACATAGTAATTCCTATAGGCATGATCTCTAGATGAGATGCAGAATTTTATAAATGGTAACCCCTATAGGCATGATATCTACCCCTTGCGTGCATAGTTCCCCACCCTTTTCCACTAGCCGACCCCAAATATTTATTACAAGATATTACAAACCAGAATTGATAAAAGAAAAATAAAATAAAAATTACATCAGAAAACTAAAAGTCCCAACCAAGGAGAGCCTGATTCGTACTTCTGTCTGAAGCATGAAGTAAACCAACTCCAAAGATCAAGTTCCAAAGCCTTTCTCTTATTTGGGATGTGTCAAAGTTCCCAAGAGTCTCAAAGGGGCTCCGGGCAATGCTTACACCCCAAATATATTTCAGAATCAAGGACATAGTGCAGTGTGGAAGGGCCAGCCCTCAAATGTCCAAGTTCAGAGGGAACTCAAGGTCCCAAAGCAAGGCTCATAGAAAGGGGGGCAGAACTTAAAATCTAAGAGTAGGTGCAAGTGCAGGGGAGGGGGAGTGATAAGCTGGTGGTCATGCCAAGCAACTTGAAGTACTGGCACACCCCTGACCAACTTGTCATTTCAAGTTGAGGAGTTAGGGCTTATTGAAAGCCAGGCTCAGGCCTGGG